CATCCTGAAACCCCCCAAATCCATCCTGAAACCCCCCAAAACCCATCCTGAAGCCCCCCAAACCCCCCAAGCCCCCCGAGCCCCCGGCACCGGGGTTCCCCCGCGTTCGGGGTGCCCCTGAGCCCGGGTCGGGTCGGGCTCGCAGCCGTCGCCCTGAGCGGGGTCGAGGATGTGCGGACGGTGCTGGAGAATTATTCCCTGGAGGACGATCCGCTGGCCGCGTTCCTGCGGCGCAGGACACGCCTGGAGGAGGTGGGGACACCTGGGGACACACCTGGGGACACCTGGGGACATCCTGGGGACAGCTGGGGACACACCTGAGTGTACCTGGGGACACTTGGGGACACCTGGGGTGGCACTGGGGTGACACCAGGGGTGACACAGGTGACACTGGGGTGGCTCTGGTGACACCAGGGTGACACTGGGGTGACACTGATGGCACTGGTGACACGGAGGGTGACACCGCTGACACCAGGGGGTGACACCAGTGGTGACACTGGGGTGACACTGGGGTGACTCAGGTGACACTGAGGTGACACTGAAGTGACAGGTGACACAGGTGACACAGGTGACACACAGGTGACACTGGGGTGACACAGGTGACACTGAGGTGACAGGTGACACAGGGTGACACCCAGGTCACACAGGTGACACACAGGTGACACCGGGGTGACACTGGAGGTGACACAGGGTGACACAGGTGACACCCAGGTGACACAGATGACACCGAGGTGACACAGGTGACACTCAGGTGACACAGGTGACACACAGGTGACACTGGGGTGACACAGGTGACACACAGGGTGACACAGGTGACACCGGGGTGACACAGGGTGACACTGGGGTGACACAGGTGACACACAGGGTGACACAGGTGACACCGGGGTGACACAGGTGACACCCGGGTGACAGCGGTGCCATGTCCCGGGCAGGAGGAGCAGCAGCGCCGGGCGGAGCTGGCTCAGGGCCGCAAACCCGCGGGGCCGTTCCTGGGCTCGCTCACCGGCCGCCTCTGGCCGCGCTCCAAGCAGCAGTGACGTCACAAACCGCGCCGCCGTGACGTCACCGTGACGTCATCGCCGCGGGGAGACACCACCGCCACCCAGCGCGGGGGAGGATGGGAGGGGACACCCCCAAATCCTCCCCCCCATCGCCCCCCCCCAAAATCCCGGAGCCCGAATTGGCGGGATTGACCCGGGGGGGGTTGGGGGGGATTTTTTGGGGGGATTTGGGGGATTTTGGGGTGTCCGGGCCCCATTTTGGGGTGAATAAAGGCAGAAATGGGGCTGGGAGATCGCTCTGATTCCCGGGGGATCCCGGCTCGGGGATTTTGGGGGAATTTGGGGCATTTTGGGTGGATTTTGGGGGATTTTTTTGGGATTTGGGGGGATTTGGGGGGATTTTGGGGTGTCCGGGCCCCATTTTGGGGTGAATAAAGGCAGAAATGGGGCTGGGGGATCCCGGCGCTGCGCG